AGAGGATTCATTTTCAAACTGTAAATTCTTAACAAAAATTGCTATTTCCACTTCAGTTACATCCATTGGTAATTCTGCATTTTATTCATGTACGTCATTATCATCTATTGACATTAGCAACAACATCATTTCTATTGGTGACTATGCATTTGAATCCTGTACATCTTTAACAAAAGTTAATATTGGAAATAGTGTTTCAACAATTGGTGAATATGCTTTTTATAATTGTGTGTCATTAACATCAATAGATGTGGACACATCAAATCCATCATATTCATCTCTTGATGGAGTATTATACAATAAAGACAAGACATTATTAATTCAATATCCAATTGGAAATTCAAGAACATCATATTCTATCCCTCCTTCTGTTACAGTAATTGGTGAAAGTGCATTTTCGCATTGTACATCATTAACGTCAATAAACATTCCAGATTCTGTTACTGAAATTGATGATTTTGCATTTTCACATTGTACGTCATTAACAACAATAAGTATTCCTAATTCTGTAGAAAATATTGGGGATAATACATTTTATTCATGCACATCATTAACATCAATTAATATTCCTAGTTCTGTTATATTCATTGGTAAAGCAGCATTTTCTCATTGTACATCATTAACATCAATCGAGATTCCTGGTTCTGTAGCGAAAATTAGTGATAATACATTTTATTCATGCACATCATTAACATCAATTAATATGAGTGATAATATTACATCTATTGGGAATTCTGCATTTTATAATTGTTCATCATTAACATCAATTACTATCTCCGACTTTGTCACATATATTGGAGAAAAAGCATTTGGTGGTTGTCAATCGTTATCATCAATTGTTATAGGCAATTCTGTTGCATCTATTAGTGAGTATATGTTTTACGATTGTACGTCATTAACAGCAATAAGTATTCCTAATTCTGTTACATATATAGGTGAAGGTGCATTTTCACATTGTATATCATTAACTTCGATAAACATTCCAGATTCTGTTATTGAAATTGATGATTTTGCATTTGAATCATGCATAACATTAACATGTGTATCATATAAAGGAACAAAAGAAATAACAAATATAGGGAAAGAATATTTGGATTTTCAAGTATAGATTCAATACATGTACCAGACATTATGAAAAGACACATT